TTTCAATTCTTTATATGACAATAACAAGCATACTTTGTGTGACTATTAAAGTACAACCGTATATTCGATACGAACTACAGGCCGTATGAGCAACATTGAAAACCCACATTTTAATATGCAAATAAGCGCTGAACTCATTTTCATTCAAAATTCGAACTACTTATAGGATTCTATGGGGAATATAATACTTAGTTACCTATTAATTCATTTGTTTATTTCTTATTTATTATTTTTCTATTTAAAGGAGTAAAAAGGCTATTGAAGTAAATATATGTACACCAAAACATTTTGAGAGGAGACTACAGGTCGTATGAGTGACTTTTAAACAACCATCTTGTTGGTGTCGGCAAAAATTTGGCACATTTAGATGAGCGTTCATTGAGTTGACAGTACCTGGCGACGAGGTCCCTCTTCCACCAAAATACAACACCGAATTTTTGCTTCTTCGTATTGCATGACCACACGCATGAAATGGTGATGATGCCAGCCTTGAATAGGCTACAAAACTGCGTATCTACCCAAAATCTTTCTAGAAAATCATTTAAAGAAGGATAAAAGAACAGTAGTTTGAACAACTTTTCTGCAATATTGAAAGCGCGGCCTCAAACATTTAATTTTTTTTTTACTCCACCCTAATCTACATACATGCATCATACATTACGTTATGACTCAGATTCCATTAGAGATTAACGCATATTATTAGCCGTATATGGCGGCTGCTGTGGTGTAGTGGTGCAGAGCTAAAAAAGAGCTGGGAGCTAAAGTCAAATGTTGAGAGCAAAGTAAAAAAATAAAGAGCTAAATCCAGCTCCAAACGCACCGAAATGGCAACACTGGCCGTATTTAACTAAATACATTTTTATAATACATACATATATACTCATACATAAGAATGTTAAGTCCAGTCAAAGTTCACTCCAAAAAAACGTGTATTCTTTCTCTCACTTATTGAGCACAAACTCTTACCAGCCTCTTCGATTTAGCCAAAATGAAATTCACATCTGGCGATTTTTCCGACATCTGATTTATTTACGCGGTTGATTGAATACAACAATCACACAGCAGATAAAAAAAACAATAAAAATTCAAAAGCCAGTGAAGAAGAATCGGCGGAAAAGCTTTCGTGTGCAAAATAAAAAAGTACGAACACAACCAGAACAATAAATAACCAGTGGCCGATGAATTTGGCAGGTACGAGTAGGCAAAGTTAATTTAAAATTTCTCCACCGAAATTGGGTGAGACAAAGCCGATTGACTCCTGTGACGAGATATATACATTTCTGTATATATGTATATGTAAATACATATACATATATGTTTGTGTAACTTTATACCCATATGCGTTTGCTGTGTGAACCGCCAGGCTGCCGGCCACTTTTACACTTCTACGCCGCACACGTGATTTCCCTCGTCGATGTTTAAGTTTAATTGAATTTATTTCGTGAACCGCGGTTTACAAACTGTCGCGTGTATGGGTAACTTCTAAGTACTAATTGCAAAAAGCCTTTGATGGCAAATTGGTATTTTTTTGCGATTTCAAAGCTTTAACTGGTTTCTATACTGCCCTTGCCTTTTAGCAAAATTACAATCTCGTAAAATGCTTCTTTTTTAGTTTGAAATCTAGAACTTCATTTCGACGAATTCTCAATCACTGAATTGATCAAATCAAAAGTGACGCATAGTACGCAAATAGTGCGGCATCCACATATTAAATTCGGTAGTTACCTATAGGAAAATTATGCTAAAGTACAAGTAGAAACAGCTTGAAGATGATATTTGCATTAATTAGTTTAAATCTGCTTCCAATTTCCTGCAGGGTTAGTGCGTGTTTGTATGTATCTACTACACTTGTTGCTCATTGATTAATTAAACTTCCTCCGCTAGATTTGATAGTATCGTGGTAATTTACGGTAGCTGGACAATTTAAAGCTTCAATATAATATATGTTTGTCTATACGTATGTATGTATATACTGCTACATGTATTTCAAAATTAATTGCTTTTAGGCGTACGCACAAGAAATATGACTGCTAATTTTGGTTGCCGAATCAGCTTTTTTGAGCCCGAATTGAGAGCGCATTTTTTTAAATTAACTGTTAAATTTATTTTTGTTTAAAACGGCGGAGGTCAGTGTTGCTGAAAGCGTGTAAGCCAATGCAATTAAAGAGAACGTGAGTCATTACCTGCTAACTTATGGAAATCCTTTATTTAGAAAAAAACTTTTGGGCCTGGAGACAGAGCTGATGCGTTGTAATGCAAGAAATAATTCATTTTGTGACCAGTCCAATCAGTAGACAAGTTTCTTTTTTATAGATATTTCAAGAAATTATCAAGCTAGAAAACTGTACTTTAGCATACTTTTCCTGTAGGAAAGTTCAATTTATGCCCATCTTTTAATAATTCAACTAACTTACTAAATAATTTTAATGTAACTTTTTAAACACGTGGCAACTCTCTTCAAACATTCGAAATGTTCAAACTAAAGATTTCTTAACAATTTTCGTTTTACTACAATATTTTTTTGTTTCATATACTTTTTGAATTAGCTAATTGAGTTATATATATCTTTCAAACAGGTGGCCACCCTCTTCAAAAGTATTTTCCAGCTTAATTCTTTTTAACTCTCCTTCGCCGGATATTGCGATACATGTTCTAATTAACTCATGAGTTGAATGAAATTTAATTTTTCAAAAATGTGGCAACCCCGCTTAACATAGTTTAGAAATAGAAATTTTTCAAACCCCCTTCGTTTGATACCCATATTTCAATAATTCGTTTAACTTATAAAATAATTTGAATTTAACTTTTTAAACAGGTGGCAATCCTCTTCCAACACCTCAAAAAATATTCTTAGCGTTCAAACGAACGATTTCTTAACACTCCTTCGTTTGACATCCACATTTTGATATTCCGAATAACTTGTGTATAAGTAAACTAAACTCGACATTTCTAGCAGGTGGAAACCCGCTTCAAAATATTTTCAAACTACTACTTTCTAAAACCCTTTCGTTTGGCACCATATGGTGATACATATTTCACCTACACAATATGATTTTTTAAACAGGTGGCAACCCTCCTATACTTCAGCTAGGAACAAAGCTTTTTTAAACCATTTCTCTAAATACCCAGTTTGTAATAATTGATTTATTTTTTTAAATAATATGAATATAATTTTTTATAGGGTGGCAACTGTTTTCAAAAAAGTAAAACCTTACTGCAGATCTACAGCCCGTTGGCCTTATTCATAAAAAATAAAGTATGTTTAAAGAGCTTTATAAATTGACGTTTTCATATTTTTTTCAATTTATTAACCTGCTGAAACCAAAGATTGACCAAGCCCATCTCTTCAATTTCCGTGCACAAAAAATCTTTTATCATTCCCCTGTAGCGCTCATCGTTGTGGCCAATGATGCCTCCGCTCTCAAAATCCGCACCAAACTGTCACACTCTGGGAGCGTATTGGCTTTTCGACAATCACAAACGGGTTTTCCGATCCCCAGATGCGCCGAAATCAAAAAAAGTTCGTCAGTACAGATGATTTTGTATTTTGTCAATAAATGCAATTTTCCAAAAATGTTCAAGCATAAAGCGATTAATTTTATTCCGGAGAAATATTATGCCGATTTTCTATCAAGATTTCCAGCCGGAAGAGTTGTCACTTTCAAAATAACATATGATTAAAACAAACACTATCAGGCCGATTCTAAATAGAAACTTCCTGGGGGTTTTCTCCCTTTCCACTTTCCTCCCTGACAATTTTTTATTTTAAATGGCGGAGTTGAGCTGTCAAAAAAGTGTCAAACAGCTCTTTCGAAGTTCGAATTTCCTCCTTGCAAATTTTCGGGGAAAATGCTACTTCCTGGGAGTTAATTATTTATTGGAGGATTTCTCTCTCTGCGGGAGTATACAGAATTGGGCTGTATATGGGCCACCCTGTATATTGAAGTTCCCTGAAGCATTTCCAAAATAGCCAGTCTTCAACGAGCTCACACTTACTGTGAACATTTTTTTTTCATGGTAAAAATGATGAAGTTAATTTTTTGTTTACTTTTTTACTTCCGAAAGAAAGAGTTGCGATATCAATTAGGCTGCAAACATTTTCATACTAGGAACTTGTATGTTGCTGCATATTTTATGGTACTTTCTTTTTAGTTATTCTTTGGCACTACAACCATTTGCAATTTAAGGCCGACATATAATTTTTGAATATCTGAATGCGTATCTATTAGATACCAAAAAATTTATATTTTGTTGAATTAAACACCACAAAGGAATATTTAAAAAAAAGAACTCAAAACCCGCATTAGGACTTGCCGTATGGATACTTAATTTAAATAATTTTCTTAGAAGGATTGTGAGTATACTAGACGCCTCATTGCTGTCATCAAGCACGTCACCCTGAGGCAACACTCACTTATTTCCATTCGTTCTGAGTTTTAAGCGAGCATACATATTTACATGCTTTGATGTGCGTTCGGCTTTGTGTACTTACATATTTATGTCTTTAGCTCTCATCAACACCATACCTACATACCTAAGACGCACATGAACACCCACTTAAGTTGCTATCCGTGAAAAATGCATGCCGAGAGTCGCTTACATCAGTTCCATACAAAATTTTGCAACAAAAAATTCAGACAAAACTTTCACCAGCATTCTGTTTTGTGAAACTTCCCTTGAAGGCTGACTCGTTTCATTAATTTTGCAAATTTGAATTTCAAATTGCATTATCACCATGCTTTTTTAGAGCTTTCTTCCACGTAATCGGCTTTCTAAAACTTAATCTACAAGTACATACAACAAAGTATCTGCACGAACAAATGTGCATAAATATGTATGTGTGAGCAATTTTTCGTCAAACATTTACATAATTCACACATATCCTTTAAACAAAAGTAAGAAGGAAAACCGAACAAAGTTTCATTATTCTACTTTCATTAGCATTTGACTACGCACATTGATTTCTCATCTCACCTTTCTCTTTGTTTTTTTTTTTGCAGAATTCTTGGAGCACCAGACGATATTGCAAGCAAAGCGATGATGCGTCAAAAGAGGAGCAACCACAACGTACAGGTAAATGACAATGGAGAATACATATACTCGTATGTAGTTGTATTTGCATGTGTGTAAATACGTGCTTCCGGTGCACCTTAAACACATACATATCTAGTACGACATATCCTACATATCCTCGACGGATTTAACACAACAACTCAAAGCACACGTCAACAACAATGTGCCACAGGATTATTCTATAGTATTTTGTGGCATATGCCGGCGCTGATAACACATTGTGGCAGCAGCTTTTGCTGCCTATACAGCCACCCAATCACACGGTGTCATTTGTTGTTAATTAAGTGTATAACTTTGAAAAGCATTTGCTTTCCATATACATACATACATATGAATGTTTCGTTGTAAATACACATAAATATGGTCATCTCATTTTCATCATTTATGGAGTGTTTTTCTGAGAGTGAGTGCTTTGAGGATTAATAGTTGCCAAGCGACCACATACAATGCTGTTGAGTAATTGTGGTTGAACACTGTGATTAGCACCAGCAAGGATAAGTAGAACTAATTCACACCTGCATAGTACTACATCTACATATAAATTTCAATTAGACCGTTGATGACTGCTGTACCTGGGTGGGTAAGGTAGGCGTATTTGGTTCAATTGTTGGAAAATTCATCTTTCAATGAAACATTTTCGACAACGGGTACAGACTTGTCGACTTCGCGCCCAATCATTCACAAAGCCACTTAATTGTCCTCTGATCAAATAACAAAGAACCCAATGGATGATCCCATTATGAAAGAATGAAAATATGCTTCGAACTTTCTTGACGTCCAGTCCATCCGAGGAGCTAACATCGGCTTGCAAAGATCCGCATGCGCCTCTATGAAATGACGAAGAAAGCCGCAGTCACGGCAGACAGTCAAACAAATGACTCTCAGTCCTGCTTAAGCTAGCCACTTCGGAACGGGGCTCCATCACCAAATTGCTGCGAAATACAAAGCATACCAAACTACCTTCAAGTCAATGGTAATACGCGCTAAATTTGAACGGAGCCGAAGAAAATGAACCAAGGTAGACCTTTATTCATACCTGACAAAAGAAATGATGGCGGGCAGGAACGTGACTCGGAATCAGAAAATATGGAAATAATGAAATAGTTTCAAGACTTCAGCTGGCTCCTGAAAAGATGAATATGTAAATATGTGACCAGATTTTCACAGTGTGTTAAATCCTGAAAAATAGCCTAGATACGAATTTCGACACACGCGATCTCCAAATTGAAACTTACCTCTGGAAAGTGTAGTTAAAGCCGTCAATCTGAATCTAAGTGTCACCATAAACGGCAAGAGCATAATGCTACTGGCGTATGCAGATGATATTCTCATAGATGGTTAGCCTCAACATCCGAGCCGTTGTCGCACAATATTCCACTGGCTTTCGAGAAGTATAACTACGCCAATGAGGTGCATTGCATTAAGTGAATTCCTTATTCTGCTCATTCACTTTCGATGTGGTAAAACCAGCTTATTTTCTTCACGAAGCGTTGAAGATGGCGTATTTCCACAGAGTGTGTCGAAAAAGGCTGGCCAGTGACAAAGGAAGGGCTCAATACTCTCCTCCTCTTCCTAGTCTCTGCATCATTTGTAGGGCATTTGATTTGATTTGATTATACTACCACAGCGCTAGTAATGGAACGGTTAATTGAGATTGGATTTAGATCTTTTTTTATCGATACTTCAACGGATCTGCGGATCAACGCAGAATGCTGATCTATGGCGAGATTTTCCTGTATAACGTGCAGGGTTAAGTGAGCATAGGTTAGTCCTCATCTTAGCGAGATTGCCTGCCAGCAGTATTCGATATTCCGTTGTGCCCGGGAACTCATGCCACTTTGACGGTCATATTCGAGGCTAACTCGTTCAGAGTATTTCTATATGCGATTGCCACCTTCGAAGAGGTGCAGATGAACTACAGGAATCTAATCGCAGCTTCACTGTCAGCGTAAATAGTGGGGTAGACTTTGTTGAGGTTAAGGCACTATTGAGCCAAAGTTCAGCTTCCCTTGTGGCTGCTGATTTGCCCTAGATAACGCTGCTGTGGTAAGGGAACCTTAAGCTGATGTTCAGCTTAGTAGACCTTAGATCCAAGTCTGTACGATCCGTTTCGATGCTTTCTGTAATTCTGTTAGACAACCGATTGTCAGAGCAGTATAATGGATCAGTGTAGTCTAGATCACGTCGATCACGTCCAGAATTTTCGAGTGACCAAACTTGGGGTCTCCTACAGGTATGAGTTACATTCAAGCCGGTTGCGTAGCAGCTGGCCTGAAGCTTACCGTAAAGGTCAGCGGATGAAGTTTTAGTAGAATTTCTCGGGCCTTGCTGTGAGTGGAGAGTGGACTGTATACTACATCCAGTGAACTATGTGTGTATTAAGTCTCCATCGTTTCACCAACGGTACCTGGTATGTGTAGAGGGCGGTTATGGCTTTTCCAAAACGGTCTGTATTATTCCAATGCCAGTTTAACTTTCCGTCTAGAATAATCTGAGGTACTTGACCTCTATATAGAGTTAAACTTTATGCTATTAAAAGAGGGTGACTCAAAAAACTGCTTGTCGTATTTTCTTGAGAAGAGTAGCATTTCGGTATTGGCGGGATTCAAGTTAAGTCCACTCTCGCCGGACCAGCAGTGTACGAAAGGGCTTGCTCGATGCTGTCAGTGCAATATCGTAGCTTACGTTATGACTTGAAAGCCGGTAATCGGTCCTTTTAGGAGAGCAGTGTTTACTGTAAGATTCCAACTGTTTTTTATATGCAGGGAGTCGAATTCATTGATACCGAAGTATAGACGTAAGTAAAATTTAATTAAACATGGTTCAAAAGGTCCTAAAAGTTCCTGTAGCGACCGATCCAGCCGCATTTGAGTCAGCCATCTGCCAACGGCTTTGGGAAAGACATTATTGAGCTCTAAGTTGGTGAAGACGTCTATTTCGTGGAGCATAGCATGCACAGACTTGCCTATAAAGTATGCAGGCTAGCACGCGAAAGACTAACCGTTGGAAGAAGGTAACGGATATGCGAGCCAAGCAGTCTGCTTAGAACTTTAGCAACAAAGACGGTTAGGCTTATTAGTCTGAAGGCATTTCAGTTTTAACAACTTCCTTTTATAAGAAACTGTCGACGATCTAAGCATACACTGGAAATTAGCCATTCAGAACTTCTGTTAAAAAAATTAAATTTATTTTCTGCGACTGGCAATTTTACATGGCTTATCTAGTTTCCAATTTATTTCTCAATAAAGACGATAAGTAACTATAAGCTGAGTTAGAGGAGAAGCACTTTCGTTAATTAAAAATATCTAATAGCCGAATGGGCCTCCACATTTCCTCTCCTTCTTCATAGAAATTCAGTGGGTACACAATATTTTTTATTTTAATTGTAAATACGCATACATTTATTTATAACATAATTAATAATTTAACTTAAATATTCAATTCGCATAAAACCTTTGGATTGACTACATTTGGCATTTGTCACGGCCATCAATCGCCAGTGGACACACGTACACTTCTCCTGGGAGTCAATGATTGTTTGGTACATTTCATTTTTTTTTTTTAATATATAAATAATGGATAGAATTTAAAATTAGGCAAAGTGATAGCACAATAAGTAATTTTATATGTTATACAAGTATATTTGCAGTAAATGTAGATAAAATGTAATACCCCTACACCGTTATCGTTGTCTTTTTTACATTTCATAAATTTCGCCCACTTATAGAAAGGCGTTGCGCGCCTGGCATCAGCTGCGCATTTCGAATACTTTTAATTAATTTAAAGCACTTAAACGCTAAAAGGATTACATAAACATTATAGTCAATTTCTCGATTTCCTTTGCCGCTTGCCGCCGCTCACTTCACAATTTATCCTCAAGGCTATCGTAGTCATAACAATCACTGCCCACCTTCGATTTTCGTCCGTCTTCCTCCTCCTCCTCCTCCTCATGGTCATCATCGTCGTCATCGCCTTTGTCGCCGATGCTATGCCATGCTGGTGCAACAACCAATTTGCCACCAACAGCCTGTTGTGCCAGTTGCGTCCCGTGCTGCACCAGCTGTCCGCGCTGTTGCTGCGCTTCTCTCTTCGCCTCCTCACGGCGTTTTTCATTTTCAATTAACTTCTCAAAATCCTTTGTCGGATCATAAACTTCGAATTCCTCAAATTCGATATCGTCATACTTGCGCTTCTCGAAGAGGCTCTTATCGTTCGCCACATAATGGCGTACAACACTCTTGTCCAGCAGCGTCGTTGTGCTGGTTGCAATAACTGTCGTAACGCTGCTGCCACGGCTGCTGGCGACGCTCGTGCGACCGTATGGCTCCGGTGTTTGCTGGTCGACGCGATGTATCTCGACGGGCACAACTATTTGAGCGGGTAGCTGCGTGGAGCGGGGTGCCAGTATTGGTGTTGTCGTTGTTGTCGCCGATGCTGCTGGTGCAGCTTGTATTTTAGCTTGAGTGGCTGCAGTGTGTTGCTCTCCTTGCGGCGCCTGCCAATTATCAACGGTTCGTTGCGGTTGCTTTGCGTCCATATTTCCGAAATTAATTTTCTCCGGCAAAGCGCTGGCTTCCTTACCTTTCTCGCAGCTGGCGTTGTCATCGATACGCGTACAACTCTTCAATGGCATATTGGATTCTAATATTCTTTTCATGCTTGCCACAGTAGTTGACATCGTTTGCGCAGCTTTGCTGTTGCCATCCGATTGCTTCATCGCTATTGTGTAAGCCAAATCGACATTTTTATTGCGCCACACTTTCAATGTGCCATTTGTGTCACCGCCACCGTCAATGCTTTCGCCAACAAAGTCCTGAGACTTTCGTTGCTCGCCAGTGCTCAAGCGTATATCCATGGCTGAACTTTGATAAGTTTTTTCGATTTCTGATTTATTATCTTTGTAGTTTGTGCGGTCAAATTCGTCGCTTATCACTTTTGCGGACTTGACATCGTCCGGCGCGTATGTTGTCATAGGCACATTTATGTGATTATTTACTGTTACTTGCTTCACTTCTGCCACACCAACACTGGCGGCGGCTTGTGCGCAATCGATCACTCTTCTTGCTGGTATTTGATTGTTAATCGTTAGCGGCTCCTCCTTACTCTCTGGTTGCACTTGTCGCTGCTTTGTACACTCAAAATGATGTACCATCTTCTTGACGACCTCTGTGTCATCAGCGCCCGTCTCGACGATGTCGACGCCAGTGCCAGCCAATTCCAGACGGCTGCTACAGCTGTTTGACTTAACAAGCCTGATACCTGAAAAAGTTTTTCAAAACAAAGTGAATTGCGAAAACTATTTCAAATGTGTTGAAAGGAAGTCAGTCGTGTCCTTCCCCGCATACACTGATACTCAATCAAACTCCTTTTGTTCAAACTCACCAAAGTGCGCCAATGAACTTTCTCTATTATCATCTATACCGTTCGTTGTGTTGGCAATGTTTTTGTCATTGCATTCATCGTTTTGTTGTGAAAACTTTTGTCTCGTTGGCTGCTGGAGCGCACAATCCTTTGTTGTTGGTGGCGGCTCACAAGCATTGCAGCTCTCAATTTGTCGTACGCGTCGTCGTGTCAGCGTCATGGTGTTTGTATTTGCCGCATTGGTCTGCGCGTTGTTGTGATTGTGATTGTAGGCGGTGGCGCCATTGTGGCCGCTACACATGCCATACAATGGCTCTGGTGAAGTGCTTTGCAACACTCGCCCACCATAGTAGGTAACTGTGGAGCCGCATTCTCTTATCTTCTCGAGCACATCCTGTGAATGGAACGATAAATAGTTATGTATTATTATTTTTTGTTCACTGATTTATTACTTGTTTTTGAATAGGTGAAATGAGAGCACTTAAACTGTATTTTGCCAATAAAAAAAAGGGTAAATTTATATCTGCTGACATAAGACAATAGCAAGCGCGTATTTCGAGAGTCAGTATAAGCCATAAATATTGCGAGAAATGCACTGATGAAGAAACTGTTTTAAAACTACAAAATTTCTATCTAAGTGTTGTGTACATGAATACACTAACGGTTTAGAACCCAACTTTGAATGCAACTTGGATAATCTCATTTGCAATCGGTCCAATCCAGAAAATCGATAAGCCAAACTCAGCGGAGGAAATTAAGCTATACTGCCCCGCAGTGACAAAACAAACTACTCGAAAAACATTCAAGGAAATTATTTAGTATAAGCTGATGTGGAAGATGACTAGTGGTGCCTGAATGCATACTAGCGGTGGTAGAGAACTATGTAATAGCTTACACTGCTGTGTAACTTTCGAACTAGTAAAAATGTTTATTTATTTTTGGATATGCCACCGTTTCAGCCGGGAAGCCCCCTACGCTATGTATTACCATTGGACAGTGCCCAATAATGATCTCAACCAATGCCTATGATTTTTCATAACTAAATCAACAGACCGGAAAATTGGCGAAAATTGGATCGACATTAAATCAGAGTTGTCAAGGTACTCTGAAGGCCTCAAAAATCGCACGGATCTGATCATGAATAGTTCAGAAATATATGTAAGTTAAAATTTTACTTCGTTGCTGAATCGACAAGGCTTAAATTCATATGGGTATCGGGACACAGTGGTGTTCAAGGCAACGAATTGGCTGATGATCACGAAAGATATCATCGACGATCCACCAGGATGAGAATAGTACAGAGTATTTTCTCTGCAGCTATTCGCCCATCTTTAGACTGAAAGGGTGCATTTTAGGTCGGATTGATAATGGACGAGCTACAAGCTCTTTCCCTTGACAAGTGACTTAGTTTCTTGAGAGAGTGTAGTAGGAGAAAAAATTTTTTTTTTTTTTTTTTGCCCACTTGTTTTCCCCTATCCTTTTAATCCTTTCCCTAGGCCTTAAAACTGTTTTAAATTTTGCGTCCTACCACACTTTCATTACATTTAACCCCTCGGTTTAGCAAAGATAGCTGTAAGTTTTTTGTAAGACAATTGAAATACAGTAAGCAAAATAGTTTGAAAGATTTTTTTCATATCAGAAAGGAGATGTCCGAGACCTCAGTGAAACCAATCGATGTTTGGACAAAGCGTCTCACTTCTGTGCGACTTTTTCAATCTGTTGTTGGATAACGAAATTAAAATCCTTGATCTCAATACCAGCGTCATCAATGTAGCTATCAGTGCTTAAAAAATGCCGTTTGTGTTCCTATGAATGAGGATCAGCCAAAGTAGCTACTGACAACACACAAGGAGTATAGGCCTATTGTGAAAGAAGTCACTAGCTTCAGCTCTGAATTCGCAGTTTGTAAAGGGGTTTGCCTGCTTGGTGTAAGCTCAGAGATTATCTTTTTGGTCATTAAGTTAAGTATTTTGGATCGAATTTCTGGCATCCCTTTTCAAATTTAATTTGTAGACAAACGGAATTCGTCCATGTGCCATCTTCAGTGTCTTTTGTACTGGTTGCAAAGTTGATCTTTCTCCGAAGAACAGAAACTCCGCTATAAAATCAGGAATGATTGGACTATGTCAAGACCCGACCGAAAGGCGGATTCAAAGGCAGAGAAAAAAAAAATCGATTCAAATGTAGCCTGCTATATTCTTATGAGCTGATAATTCGTTCATTCTTTTTCATAAGCCATCAACCGCTAAAACTGCATGCAGTGCCGGAAAATAAATAGGGACGCGATATTTTAACAAGTTTTGACTATTTTTCTTTGTGAATTTAATATTTATAATTTTTTATGAGAGTATAGCTCAGTACCTAACAAAAACCGTAAAACCCCGAATTTAAAACTTTGTACAAAAATTTGGAAAATTCGACAAAGTTTCATCAAGCTAAAAAACTTTTTAATTGGAAGTTTTAGAAAAAAAATTGGTATGCAGTTTGGTAGCCCATTCAATTTTTTTTAGTACTTGAAAATACCCGGCGTGCTTCACTGCGCCTTAAAAGTATTTTTGTGTCTTACTCCCTCCCAAAACTCTTATGGCTTCATTCATAAAAAATAAAATAGATTTGAGGAGCTTTATCAGGTGAGATTTTCAAACAAATTTTCGGTTTATGAAACATACTTTATCTTTTATGAATAAGGACATTAGTTAATAGATTTTCGAAGGTATTTAATCCTCGTAATTTAATTTATACTCATATAACTCGATTCTACATATCGTGCACTTTCATCAAAGGTGATTTCATTCAGTATTTATCTTATCTTATCACTTTAACTGAATACAGTTTTTCCAATAGGTGGCAACCCACTAAAAAAATATTTTCGGCAGTAATATTTAATTTATTTTATCAATTTAATAATTCAATAAAAATTTTCAAACAAGTGGCAACCCTCCTCAAACAATTTTTTGCCAGTAAAGTTGCCTAAGCCTCTTTAGTTTGATACCCATATTGCAATATTTAATTTATCTTATCAATTAAATCAAATTGGAATTTTCAAACAGCTGGAAACCTTCCATAAAAATATTTTCGACTCTAATCCTTCTTAAATCTCTTTCTTTCGCAATATTTATTTTATCTTATCAATTTACTTAAACTGCAATTCTCAAACAGGTGGCAACTCTCTAATAATTTTTACGTATATTTTAAGTTAGGCCTTTATCAATGCATCGGTGAAAACTGCATTCAATTCCATGCATTTTGGCAATTTTTTTTTAAAGGTGGCAGTCATTTTCTTCATTTCGAAGTAGTATTTTTGAATATTTTTTAAATGGAGAAAATATGCAACACCTTCAACAAATAATTTGCTCAAAATCAACGGTAAGTCCTAGCTATTTTCACACTTGCACTTTATTGTATTAAAATTCAATGGGCAGCAAAACTGCATCCACGATATTTCTAAGAAATCTTCTTTTGTAAAAAAAAAATTGAAATAATAAAAAAATAATCAAAGCTTTTCAATATGTTAGTGTCGTTAGTTAATATATTCACTTTTCGTTTATGAACTGTATCTCTCTATACGTAAACAAGCCCTCAAACAAATATTCATACATACATACATATTTCCCCATCACTTTTTGGCATTTCTGCTGATGAGGCACAAAAGTCCTGTTACGTGTAGAAAAGAAAAGATATGCGGCACGTAATGCTACAACTGCACCGTATAAAATGAGCCTAATTGAGCTAAATAGGCGTGTCATAAATCCATGTCAGTGCTTCCGTTTGGGCGCCGCACACTTTTACGAGCATCTCGCGTTTTGCTGTCTAAGGCGAAATTCGAAATAGGACTTCCAACATGAAGCCGCCTCTTTGCAAACTTTAACTATTTACTTACATAAATACTCTTCACCTTCACCGCTATACACTCATTATACCACACACACACACACACACACACACATACTTACTTTGCTCACATAATGCGATTCGTAGGCATCATCATCAAGGTCTTCGTCGTCGGCATCCTCCTCATCGTCGCTAGCTGCTTCCGCCTCAAGTCTATTGTTTTTATCTTCACTTGTAAAATTTCGTTTTTGTTGCTGACTTGCATGCTGCTCATAAATATCGGTCACGCGGTAAGTGGCATCCTCACCCACACGAATGGCACAGCTACGTGGTCGTGGACGCGGTTGTGGTAAATGTCCATTATAATCTCGTTCTCCCAGAGCCGTCGTGGCGATGTCAATATGCGTCGACGCGCCGATCCGCATATTTCTATTGTTATGCCTTTGCACTTCGGCCTGCACGTGCACGCCCTTCAATGCCTCCTCCTCCTCGTCGTCCGCGCCAGCCGCTTGCTTCTCTGCGTTTTCTGTGTTCGTTGCATCCATTTCATTGCATTCGCAAGGCGATGACAAATCACCGCTAGAGATGCCGCTCGACAAGCTGGCCGTATCCCATTTGCGCGCACTCGGACTGCTGCCTTTTGTGGTTTCACGACCAGGTAATTGCTTATTTGTCAGCTGTTGTTGTTGTTGTTGTTGTTGGTGTTGTTGTTGGTGTTGTTGATGCTGGTGTGGCATATGGCCGTAGGATGTATCAATGGTAAGATAGCGGTACTTGCGTGCACGTCTTGCGCGCGGACTCGGCAGCTGTGTTGCAGCACTACGTTCCACCAGGGTTTCCTCTTCGGGCGCGGCATGTCGCAGCTGCATGCCGCCACGTGCCGTAGGCAACACATTTTCCTCGAAGAATTTGCGTACATTTCGCACAATGTCCGGATTAGGTAACTCCTCCTCGTACAGCTCACGGTTCACGCGCACGGGCTGGTAGAAGAAGTGGCGCTTAATGCCACCGCCGCTAGCACCGGTGCAATTACTGCCGACGCCAGCAGCGCCTTTCTCCGCACCACCACTGACAGTAGCTGCTGTTTTCTGTTCTAGTTTTCCTACACCTACGCTGCGCGGCGTACAAACAGCCCCCTTTGTCTGCTGCTCTACTTTGCTGACGT